TGGACGTTCGTTAGAGAGGAGAGTAATTCAGACGATGTCGGGCTGAACTCTTCGTGGTACGCAATGGACTTGTCTAAATTCGCTGTGAGTCCACAAATTCCGAACCATCACTAAGAATCGACTGACTTTTGGAAGGATGCTTGTTCATGACGGAGCACCAACTACCCGCAACACTTGATCGCGGAAATTGTCTTTAAGAAAAGGTTAAGGCTTAGCGTAGATTGTGCTTTTTCTGTAAATTATCCTTCGACAAGTCCGTTCGTCTGTGCCCTAAGTTCGTCTGTGCCCTAAGTCTGAACCTTTGTTCGAGAAGTGGACAAGACGGCGCTGAGGAGCGCCCCCTCCCACCTCGTTTTTCTTTGAATTCCTATTTTTCAGAGGAATGAACTGCGTAGCGCTGACACTTTGGACGGTTTGTGGACGTTCGTTAGAGAGGAGAGTAATTCAGACGATGTCGGGCTGAACTCTTCGTGGTACGCAATGGACTTGTCTAAATTCGCTGTGAGTCCACAAATTCCGAACCATACACATGCACTAAGAATCGACTGCCTTTTGAAATCGTGGCGATTTCCAAGGCATAACTGGTATATGAGTAACTAGGAACGGAAAAGGCTTCGATAAATCATTGCTTTCGATCATTTAGATAGTTCTGGTCAAGTTTACCGTAGACAAAGAGGTTGGTGAATTTCAATGACCCGACACAAGATTAAAATCGTACAGTAGATTGGATACAGGAGCGACAGTACTTGCTGCTTCTCCTTTTTTGTCCCTTTAGAACACAATCCAAATCAGTCAGTCGTACTCTTTTCTACCTTCAGAAAATGAGTGGGCAGTAACTAAACTTGTAAAAGGCCCACTGATTTCTGGTGGTATCTCGCCAAAGGCCTGCCGCCTTAAGTGAATTAGTCAGCTAATTCAGGCAGAGAGGGGTGAGCAGTGCAACCTGCAACTTTTCTCTAGGTCTGCCCTTTGAATGACTGCTGCATCCGCAATTAATTGTATGCTTGGAACATCCCACCGCCGAGTTACACACCATATCTCGCAGATGGAGAGGGCGTGGCTACATGCTTCATTTGAACATGAAGTGGTATACAATTTTGTGGAGCGAATCCAAGACAATTGTCTTTTCCTAGTTTGTGCCGCGACAAACATGATTATAGTTGTTCCAGAACAATTATACCGCACCAAAAAGCGTGCCGCCTCAGTACGTTGGAGTGGAGTGCGCAGTCACATCCTCTCCAGCTCTCCCTCGCTCCGGGATATGGAGCTTACGGACTGTACATAGAATTGAGAACCTTGCTGTCGATAGCTTCAGTCCAAGGCAACTGGCGTGGAGACGATGAGTCCCGAAATCCCGGTGGGGGTATGACAAAGACTCAGCTAGAAGACCGAGAAGCGCTCGTACCCGCTGCATGAGATGGCGCTTTGTACAAGCTGTTTTGTTATGATAACTGCTGTTTAACGCCGCAGTACGCGTTCCGAATGTTATCACAAGAATGCTGAGTTGTGGGCAAAAGTCGTGCCCCAGGCGGGAGTCGAACCCGCACCTCACGCTTTCCGGGCGAGTGCGCTATCCGTTACGCCACCAGGGCCGCTTTTACCCTCTCAGCTTAAAGCGCACTTCGCCCGGAAAGCCGTTGAGGCTCCGGGTCGAACTCCGGAATGAGGCACGACTTTGGCCCCATCAACTCAGCATTCTTGTGATAGCATGCGTACGGACACATAGAATTGAGAACCTTGCTGTCGATAGCTTTAGTCCAAGGAACTGGTGGAGAACATGAGTTCCCGAAATCCCGGGGGTATGACAAACTCAGCTAGAAGACCGAGCAGGCTCATACCCGTGCATGATGCTTTAGACGGAACTTTTCTGCATGCAAAATCTTGTTAGCCCTATCATAAAAAGCGCCCCACCGTGCCGAACAAAAATCCCCTAAATTCCCTATGCACAGTGACTGACCTCACCACCACAACGACAAACAGTTCTTCACGATTCAAGTATTATATAGTTGCCTTGTTGTAGTGTTGCAGAATGCAACGATGATGCCAGTGCCAGCCGCCTATAACGATCTCTCAGCGAGTGCCGATCTTCGCGATCACATTGGTTGGGTATGGTATCAAACAGTGGTGATCGTCCCTGAACGAGATATGGGCCAACGTATAGCACTTCGCTTTGGCAGCGTTAATTATTACGCCAAAGTGGTTAGTTCTGATGGGACTCTCTCTTTCTGAATGAGAAGTGGAAGATTGATGCTCATGCCTTTCAGTTCTTCAACTCGATTGAGGTTGGATCTCATGTGGGTGGTCATCTACCATTTGAGTTTGATGTCACACGGCTGGTCAAGTTTGGAGCTATGAACAAGGTATTATCCTTCATGCTTTGTTACAGTTGATATTGCCTCTACCACAGGTTCTTTTCTACCCAAATCTGCCCCTCCTCTTGAAAAACGCAGCCGCGGCTGGGCTCATTTCACGCCTCCTGACACCGCTCCGACTGATTGCGACAGTAAACAGTACCTGATAGTTCTAACCTATACTGCCTCAAACAATACCTAAAACATTTAGTACCTCTCACTAGTCTTTTGACCACGCTGAATTAATCCAAGGGCAAGTATCGGACCACTTTCTTGATTAAGCTTACAGTTATACTCCTTTTCCTCCTTTCCAAATATTTCTAGATCACCGTTGCTGTAAACAACACTCTGTCATGGTCGACCATTCCGCAAGGAGATTTCAATTATATGAAGGATTCCACTCGAAATATTAGCGGCAGATACGTAAGTTCTTGACTATTTCCGATTTTAGAGCCATTCCTCACCGCTTTCGGAGCATTCCTCGAGAATTCAATGTAGGACTTTTCAGAATCACGAGGCGTTCGTGACATTACCACGTTTTTAGTTACCTTAGAACATAGGAAGCTCAACGCCTTTCCGGAAGGCGGGGGAAAGCTAGTAAAAGAAAAAAAGATGCGTAGGCAGCTTGAATAACCTACTTGAGGCTCGGCTGCACATCCCACTATTTAAGGGGCGCCGCTGGGTCCCATGTGTTGCGGTGGCGGTTGAGCTAAATTTGCCGAGGATTAATCTCCGGTAAGGCCTTCTGTATGGGAGGAGTCCGTGCGGGTTACATCTCTGTAGGGTTATATTCTGCATAACAAGCTAAATAATTTCAGGCCTGAAGAAGGTGCTACGCACCGAAATATAGCCAGATAAGATATATTTCAAAAAACTTTTGAGACTTTTGCTGTCTTTTGAGTTTTTTGGAATAAACTTTCTGGAGTTTCACACTTAATACACATTCAGGATTGAGTAATGACACTTGCGGACATGGCACCATGATCGATTACCTTGAGCTCCTGATATTCCATCTCTATGCTAACTCAGTGCTTAGATCATCATGACCAGAGACATAGTAGGTAAAAGCAAAATCCAGCAACCTCTCGGCGCACACTTCTTCCCTTCTTCTTCGGCCACCAGAAACCTGAACTGTTAGTCGTCGGTAACAATTGCAGTCTTGATATCCACTGAGAAAGGAGTGCCGCATTATTTAACCGCTACAAGCTGAAAGAGTTTATCCACTTTCCCCTTTCCTCACTGCGAATTTCTTGCGACAATCACCGTAAGCTCATCCTTTAGGCGCGCCGTTTACTCACGGTAATCCAGGTATTACTTAAATAGCCATTATTTTCAGAATCGCTCGCGGAACACCCAATGTGAGCCTTCGAAAAAATGTTGGCAATTTCGGATTTCTCATCACTATGCTAGAACTTCTTCGACACTGTTTAATTGGTGAAGAACTTCGCACCAAGCCAACATTTGATTGAACGATCATGGATCATCGCCGAACATCTAGGTGCATTTATGACCACCATTTTCCCCCGATCATATAGCAAACCAGTGGAATCACGCGCGGTTGCGGTGAAGCAAGCCTGACGATTGCAGTGCAACCGCGCATTCTCACCTGAGCCGATTCAGGGATAGGTTCCACGCAGTAGTACTGACTGTGTAGCATTCCAACATGTACTTCAACCGATTTATTGACACCTATGATTTATGGATGAATAAGGTTCTTGACTTCTTCCTACAGTTTTCATTTGGTTTTTCAGGTTCGTTCTCTTATGAAGTAACACTGAGTCAAAATCGTTCCGATGAAGATGTGATAGTGCGAATGCTGGATCCAGATGGAGTCATAGTAAGTCACTGAAAAAAAGTTTCACTAACGTCTGTCAATAAAAACGGAAGTAATCTAGGTGTACTCAGCACGTGGTCTTGCACAGAAAGGTCTTCTGACAACGGTGAAACCATGGTGGCCTCGAGGAATGGGAAAGCCAAATCTTTACACATTAGAGGTGAGTTCATCTTTCCATAAGTTCCGTCAGCACTGATGACCCCCTTGTTTTGCGCGACCCTTTCAACATTCGATCACGTTTAGAAGTAACTACACTACTACACAGGAGCAGAATCCTGTGTTGAACCATCGTAGCCATGACACTACTCAGATATGAGTTGTGCAAGTTTTCCTTTGCAAGCTGGTAGGGGACGATGAATGTATTCCCAGCAGTAAACGAAGATACGGACACTGAAAAGAGCTATCACAAGAATGCTGAGTTATGGGCAAAAGTCGGACCACGGGCGGGATTCGAACCCGCATCTTCCGCTTACCGGGCGGTTGCGTTCCCTATTACGCTACCGAGGCCACTTTTGACCTCTCAGCTCAATGGCTATTTGTGCCATTGCCTTCGAGCACTCACACGTTCAACGTGATGAGCCGGTTAGCCGATATCGGCAGTGAACCGCAAGGCTGAAGGCTTTTTACAAGTTTTAAGCTGTTATTGTTTGATAACTGCTGTTTAACGCTGCGCGATCCGATTTTGCCCACAACTCAGCATTCTTGTCTGGGGTCTGGGCGCCATGAGATCGGGTAAGGCAGTATCACTGGAATTTCGTTAATCATTATTGGATAGGTACGAGTTAATGGTCTTTACACGATTAATAATAGACGACCCTCTCTCATGGGCATTTTGACCCTGTAAGCCTAGACGAATTATCATCCCGAGCACCGTACCGTTGACTTACCAGTGGGCTGCACCTGTCCATGGGAAGTTGAAGCCATTTGAGCGTGAGAGAAATGAAAACCATTTCTTGGGAAGGGAATGGGATTCAATAAATGGAATATGTAGAAAGAGCCATCACTCTGAATTCACAAATCCACTTACTTTTTCTTTTTAAGTGTTTCAATATCCGTTTGACAGGTAGAACTGGTGGTTCCGCAAG